TGTAGATAGACTGGATAGGGGAAATGTGGCACATATACACCATGGAATATTATGCAGCCATCAAAAACGATGAGTTTAGGGTGGTTTCTTTAGTTTTTTTTTTCTTTTTCTTTCAACTAAAGGAGTTTGCCCAGTGTTGTAGGAAAGAAGAAGTAACTCATTATTCCTGCTTTTAACTTTCTACTCTCTTTCATGGCCAAAAAAAAAAAAAACTATCTAGTTTTCACATATTTGAATAAATCTCTTAGATCATATGTCAGAAAACAATCTTTACACCCTGAATCCCAAAATCTGCTAGACCTCATCATTCAGTTCAGAAATTCCCGTCAGCAGACATAATCTTCTTCTGTCTACTAGTCCCTGCACAAGACTCCCAAGGCCTCCTTCTGAAGACCACTGACACTTTACTCCAAGGAAGTGTGAAGAATTAGGGTCAATTTATAAAGACCGAGTTTGAAAACATCCCAAAGAATTCTTTCTAATTAAGACAAAACAATAAAATTGCACTTTATTACTTCTGCCCCTTTCATTACCTAAAGAAAGTCACATGGCTGAGTCCATATTTAAAGGGGAGGGAAATAGCCTCTGCCTCTTTAGTGAAAGATATTTTAAAAATCACATATCACAACGCATGACTATAGGACGAGTAAAGAATTGGAGTCATTAAGTTAATGTACCTTGCCATTCTAAGGCTCATTTTTATTTCTTTGATGATTTTATTCTTTTTAAAAACATGTTTAGGGATTTGAAGAACTGCTAAGTACTTCATAAATATGGCTTATTATAAATACTAAAAATTATACCTGGGTTGTAATGGAGAAAAGTAGAACTTGTTTTTATCTTTCATCTTTAGCATCGTGGTCCTCTCTGCTGTTATTGGGTGCATGATTCCAGTGTTTTCTGCATTTGGTAGAATGCAGACATCCAGGTCATCGTTATAGCAACTCTTCACAAAACTAGAAAAGGTAACATCTGAAATTTTAAAAATATATATCATAACATTATATAATGTAAACCACCAGCCATAAACATTGAATATGCAACTAAACATCTTTATAATAATGTATATCCCAAGTTAGTTTAAGCTATCCAGGATAGTTTTAGGAGTTTACATAAATCTTGATATAAAATATCTGTAGTTCTTCAATACATGGGCATTGTATGCAACAGAGAATATTTCAATACGTTAAAGCCTTAAGAGCAAGAAGGCTTTTCATTTGAGGCTTAATCAAAATCCATTCATTTTATAGAAAGACAAACCAACTGTCCGATGGACTAAGTGACGGGAGAGATCACAATGGTACAAAAGATCTAACAGAAGATGAAGTCTGCAAATTGTCTCATAACTTTTATTTTAACCCTAGCTGCTCAACTAACTACTAAGCAACTTTGGATGAGACACAACTTCTGCATTTCAATTTCCTCACTTCTATAATAGGAAAAATAACACCTACCCAAGACAATTCTTATATAATCAAGTTAAATAATTGCTGTGTTGGCCAGGTGTGGCAGTTAATGCCTATAATCCCAACACTTTGGGAGGCTGAGATGGGAGGACTGCTAAGGCCAGGAGTTTGAGACCAGCCTTGTCAAGATAGTAAGATCCCATCGCATTATATTCAAATTTTAAATTTTTTTATTTAAAAACATAGTTGATGTGAAAGCTCTTCAATGTGTATACAGCGGTTACTTTTGTAAGAAATTATAAACTACCATTGTGGCTATCAATACGCAGCAGGCTGTCAGTTGGACAGCAAGCACTAGACTACAATGTACCTTTTTGTTGATAAAATTTCAGAATGCTATTAAAAATTCTATGCATGGATGGATGAAATGGCATTGCCCAGATAAAATAAAACATCCTACCCTGAAGCTTCATGATTCCTGAAATTGAATGGTCATTCCTCACTTTGTGCCATGGCTCCTGAGGCCACTGATTTGGCTCTGAGGTGAATACAGGCCACAGAATACCAATTCGACCTCCTCTTGGATTGGAAGGAGCTCTATCTGATGATGTCAAGTTAGCAGAGTGAGGCTTCGCTTTGTCCTGAAGGCAGTCAAAAGAAGAGCTGGTGGCGACAATGACTGAGTTCCTAAGCACAATCTGCACATTTTTAATGGAGTTTTGTGGAGCAGAAAATACATACACTACTGCCAAAAGACCAATAGTATTGTCTACCAGGGTGATGTTCTCTATCTCTACACTGTTCTCTACATGTAACATGGCACCATAGTCAAAGTTCTTGAAAGCCAAGAAGCCAGAGATTCTGGTACAGTTGTTGAGTCCACTTTCCTTATAGAGATGAAGGCCATGAAGACTTGAGTGGGCCACGTTGTCAGACCAAAGCACCTCACAAGAGGAGCATTTGTAGCCTCGGATGTGAAAGCCAAGTCTCTCTGATCCTGCCACAACGTTGCCATGGAGGTTGATGTCCTTTACCTGGTTCACTTTGATTCCTGCCACCCAAATGTTGGACCACGCTGGCTGTGTCATCAGAACCACAAGGTTATTAGCGAGAGAATAGGCCTCACCCTCTAAATCAATGCCATGGCCAGCTGTGCCAAACACAATATTGTCATTTAAACGTACTCCATGACTAGCAACTGCATGAATGCCCCCGCCACAGCTCTGGTGCAGAGTAGATGAGATGATCCAGGATCCTGTTGACACATTACTGAATTCGACAGATGAGTACAGTGATGACCCAAAGTTCTGAATTTCCACATTAAGAAGTTGAAGGACACCTACAAACAAAATGCATGTCATCAGGTAGTTTCTTCTTCCCCAGAAAAAGCTGAAGAATAGCCCATTTCAGGCCCATTTCATTAAGATATGAAGATTCTTAATGAAAATATAACTTTATTCTCAACACCAACATTATATTTCACACCGTAGATTCTCAACCAAAAATGTAGGAATCATTACAAGTAACACATTAATGCCTGAATTTCAAGTGCAGTCCAAAGAATCTGTTAATAGGACGGGGAAAGATGAGAGGTGAAATAGGAAAGAGACAAATTTTGGAGATGGACATGGCTAGGTTTAAAGATTCTATGCATTTGTCTCGGGGCCAAGTCAAAGAATTAGGTAAGAATAAAGAGATTCTGGATTTCTGGCCCTTCATCTCAATGTCAAAACTCCTTCTCAGCATCTCATTAACAGCACGTAAAAAGGCTAGTCATCTCCACAAACACATTGCACAAACGAATATTAAGCGTTTCTGAAGAAGAAAAGGACTGTACAATTTCCTTCTGCCCAATTGATGTCCAGAAACGTGATATTCAATACATGCTTCTGATTAAGACATGGTAGAAGCAATAACATGCTTTTAAAATCACTTTAAAGATCCTGTAAAATCTTTTCCATATTTTTGTCCTGGCTACATTTTATTCACTTTCGTTTCATTTTATAATAAGATTTTCTATATCTTTATGTCAGAAGAAAATAGTGAATTATTTACTCTCATTTGTAATTTTATTTGTACTATATTAAAAAGAAAATGCAAAAAAAAAAAAAAAAAAACACCATAAAATACAGCCAGTAGGTTGATTTAAAAACACAATGAGTCAGCGTATATACTCTTGGTAAAATTAATAATAACATGATTACAGGTGAATTAATATGAAATAATAATGAGGTGAATTAAAAACTTTAACTCTCATATAATACTCATTATTTGTAGTCACTGTTCTAATTCATATTTATTCATTTATTTATGCATACTCTTAATTTTCAAAAAAATCCTACGAGGTAGGTACAATTATTATACCTATTTTACACATAAAGAAACTGAGGCAGAGAAGAGATAACTAACAAGCTAGGACTTAAGCTTAAGCATTTGGATAGAAGCTGCACTGTTAATCTCATGCAGGCATCCTAGAAAGACAGGAAGGCTTGGTGGTATGAAATCAGCAATTCTATATTATGATTCAGGTAACTGGGCTATAGTGATGAGCCAATAATTAGTTGTGTGTCCTTTACTATGTAGGTCACAAATTTGGCTCCTTTTATTTCATTTTTTAAGGCACTAATGAAAGTAAACTATAAAGTTATTGATCTCATTAAAAATGAAGGGAGCAATGCATTTGAAGTTTCAATTTCAGCGTTTCAATAATAGTATTTAAGGTTCAAAGACAGGACAGCCTAAGTCCCATTTCTCTGTTACCTTTTCAGAGATGAGAAACTAGAACCTTTGCAAATCAGCTGCCATGAAGAAGCAAGTCCTTGTGAGAAGGACAGGCTACTGGAAAGACCCTATACGTCTCCTTGTGGTCAGACAACAAGATTCCAACATATCTCAATGGATACTATTGAGGAGGCATTGGTAAATGGTGTGTACATATCCACAGAACAATAAAACACCCAGAAGCTATTTGTTGGGCAATATCCCTCACCAACAGCACATAGCTGAAAGGGCTGCCAAACCTGCTCCATAGAACTTTGGCACAAAGAACATCAAATGCAAGCATAAGTCAAAAACAAGCATAGCTTATTTTTAGCATTTGAGGTGATTTTAGAATCTCTGTCAAGACAACTTGTCAGTATTATTGTTATGTCCAAGGTTTTTTATAAAGGATATTTCAAGGGAGATAGATAAAGAGATGCGTAGGGCATGGCATGAGGGAAGGGCATGCAGCTCCCATGCCCTCCCCATGCCCACTACCTTAGTCTAGGAAGCTTCACACATTCAACTATCCAGAAGCTTTCAAGATTATTTTAATTATTGGGTTTTTTAATGTCTTATACTTGCATGGATTTGATTCATAGTTTTAAACTCTACAAGGTCTTTTTACTTGTGTGCACATTAACCAATGACTGAAAATTAATCAACAGTAAAGACTTAAAATGTCTTCGGCATTTGAATACAGAATTAAGCAAAATTTTTTGAGACAAAGTCTCACTCTGTCACCAGGCTGGAGCTCAGTGGCGCAATCTCAGCTCACTGCAACCTCCATCTCCAGTGTACAAGTGAGCCTCCCACTTCAGCCTCCTAAGAACTGGGACTACAGGTGTATGCCACCGTGCTTGGCTAATTTTTATATTATTAGTAGAGATAGGGTTTCACCATGTTGGCCAAGCTGGTTTTGAACTCCTAACCTCAAGTGATCTGCTCACTTCAGCCTGCCAAAGTGCTGGGATTATAGGTGTGGTGGTCAGCTTGAATAAAGCAATTAGTTTGTTCAAAACTATTTTTCTATTTTTTCTTTAGAAAATCACTACTGAAAAAATATTCTAGCAAGTTAAGTACAACTTGTTGGGTACCCTTCAGGAAGAGAAGAGTGATAGAGCCCTCCGACATAAAAGTAGAACTTGTAAGTCTTGACCTGCTTTTCTGCTCTATAACAAATCAATACTCACATCTGGCATCCCTGACATACACCTGCAGATCCCATCTTATGCATGCTCTGGACTATATTACAGAAAAATACAAGGGTTTTTAATGCAGTATATAAACCTAAATTGAATTATGGAACAGAAATAAGAAAAAACTGGTAAAATTTGAAGAATGTCTTGAGTTTAGTTCATAGTAATATATCAAAGTTAATGGTATTATCTTCATTTTGACAAATATACTAGTATTACTAAATCTGCTATTGATGGAAGAAAACTGAATGAAAGGTATACAGGATCTCTCTATACTATCTTTGCAGCTTTTCTATAAATCTAAAATTATTATAAAATTAAAAGTTTAGTTAACAAGAGCCAGGCTTGACTCTACAACTTACTAGTTGAATGACTTTCCTTGCTCTTCATTTATATTTTTCATTCATATGTATTAAGCACCTGACATACAGTAGTTACCATACTAGAAAACAGATGAAAGGCCTATTCCTAACCTCAAGGTGTTTATAAGCTAATGAAGGAGCTACATAAATAAATAGGCAAATGTATATAGACTCTATTTCCTGTAATAGGAATATAAAATTCTTTCATGAGGATTTTAGGATTAAATAAGATAAAATTTTCACTGTGTGAAAACCAGCACCGTTTCTGGTCCATAGAAGCACAAAATAGAGTTTCTGTTTCCCTTCCCCAGGGGAATGATTTAAGGATCAGCCTTGTCAGAGATTTAGGATCAGGTCAGTCTTGCCACTGGTTCTGCTCTGGCTTGGTGCTCAGCTGTAAGAACTGGCCTTCTGTTTTGTTCCCGTGGCCATGCTGCAGCTTGGCCCGTAGTTTCAGTTAACTGGGGCCTTATCTTGCTCTCTCCTTCCTGATTCCCCGTCTTCATCAACCTTAGAATGGTCTCTTCTTACAAAAGCGAAACCCAGCCTTTATCTCCATCATCTGTAACAGGGTTCTCAACATCAACACTATTGACATTTCTGGCAGATACTCCTTTCCTGTGGGTGGCTGTCCTGCATATGCCAGATGTTTGGCACTACCCATAGATGCCAGAGCTCCCTCAAGTTGTGACAAGTAAAAATGTCTCCACATATTCCCAAATGTCACCTGGGTAGGGAGCAGAAATCACCACTGACAAGAACCTGTGGAGCTAGAGCTTATGGAGACAGAGCTTGTTCTGTTAATTAGAAATCTTAAATGTTTTATGTAAGGTCCAAACACTGCCCTTTACAAAACTGGTGAAATAATTGTGTCAACAAAGAGTGTCCCATACCAAATACGTTTGGACGTGGTTAGATCCTTTATTCTCAGCCTTCCCCGGGCCTTTATATATTCATGTACACCCTGATTTTCTAAGTTGGAGCTACAGTGACAGCCAAACTATTTGATCAGGAAAGAACTTTGGAACAATGTTTAAGGAACACAAGTTTAAGAAATGAGGTCCTAATCAAATGATTTTGCAGCTTTCCAAAAGGGCTAAAACTTGAAAGAAACAAGGAAGATTGAACTGATCCTTAAAGCAGTCTAAAATATGGAAATCATTTTTATTTAAATTTATGCTATTAATTTATAGCATGAACTAATGCCTGCCATCAGATATAGCATGCTACTGGGAAAGAGTAATAGAAATTCAGGAAAGAGATAAAATTGAAGTGGTCATTAAATCATCTATAATTTCAAAGCAGAGGAAATTTCACATCTGCTGAAGATGTTTTCTTTGCGGTAAAATGTGCATATGTGCTGATCGCTAGTATATTATTTTAACATCACACTGATAATTAAGCACAGATTAGGACTTAAAATTCATGGCTTCTCCAAGCACAAAGGAACTATCTCATTTGAACATTTTGTTTTATAAATGAAAATTCTCACAGTTGGGATTTCTGGGTGTCCCAGATGAATAGGATGCAACTGGTAATGCCTAGTTGCTTAAAATTTCATTTACCTGAAAATTCTTCTCGGCTGGACTTCCTGAAGGACCCCACAAGTAGTCTCCCCCTACATGATACGTCAGGCTGAATTTGTATATTTCGGGTCAACAGCCCAACTTCAGCAGCCAAATGAATGTGTCGGCCATCCTCCATGACATGGACACTTCCTGGGGCAATAGGAGTTGAGGGAAAAAAAAAAAAAAAACTTTAAAAACCTATTTCAAAAATCACTAGCTGGGGACCCAGCAAACCTGAGAAATGAAAACATGCTTTCCCCTCGGAAGTTCTACCAACATTAAGGTCTGCTTTTCCTTGGGCATTCTCCACAAAGGTCAGCTGAGAAATAAAATAACCCATTCACTTTTCTCTCTTTGGGATCAGAGTGAGAGTGTTTGAGCAAGAATTCATTTCTGCTTAATAACTGTGGGTTCTGGGACAGGTCACTGGTTCAGAGAAGTCAGGGCAGACCTGTCCAATTAGTGGGGTCCCCAACCTCCTTCCTTAAATAGGTCAGCGTGAAACTCCAGTGTTGGGTTGTACATTGTCCATGGACCTCTTTCATGAGAGTGAGGAGTCCCAGATCAACTGAGGCAGTGACAGAGCAAAAGCAGCTATGTATAAGAGTAAAAGGAAAGTGAGAAGCAGCGCCAGGCAGCAGCAGCAGCAGCATCTTCTCATGGTGGATCTTTCACTCATCACCGCTTGAACAGCTTCTATAGCAGTGGGAACTAAGCATCTTGCTAGTTTGTTTCACTGTCTACCATTTGCATTTCACCTCTTCTCTCACTGAAATCACTGATGAAGATTTCTTTTTTCTTTTTCACTTATTAAAAAAGAAAGCCTGGGAACTATGATTTAGACATAACTTTAGACATTCCTGGTGAAAGCGTGAATTTGCCTCTCATGTATCAGGGACAAAAAGACATTCTCCATCCCCTTTATTTCCACAATTTATTACTGATTAGCTATATCTCCTGGGTTAGATTTATTAGACTCAATCAGGAAGATTATTGTGATTTATTATTTATGTGCAGTACATTTTAACTGTGTATTGTGTATAAAAATATTCGGTACCTTTTTTTCTTTAAAAAAAGGTCTGGGCTTTTTTCTTTCATTTTTGCAGTAATAGTAATAGTAGTAGTTAGTACATAAATGTACCTCATGTCAGGAAGAACACACTTCTAAGTATGGAATATGAAATCATTATTTACAGTAACTATTATATTCTAAGGGATTGTAATTCAATGTGCCAGGAAATAAACTGGAAACTCAGTGCCCATGAGTTTTATTCTGGCTTTAGTCAGAAAACTGCCCAGTGACATTGAACAAGATTTTTAATCCTCTGCTCTTAGATTTGCCATTAAAAATAAAAAGCAAAATGAGTCCATGTGTATGAGTGTATAACATCCAAGCATTCTTTTAAAATAAAGCAATAAAATTAATGAAGGAATAGAGATAAGGCCATCAAGCATGAGTCTAGGGCAGCTGGAAGGCATTATTTTTCCCCTCTGAATGGAAGTCAGATCCAAGGTCCTCAGCCAGGTTGCCAAACATGGTCTTCCTGGCTCATTCACTTCCGTTAACAAGCAAACCAAAGGCTTACCAATGTGTCGGTGCTTGAGCCGTTCATGGATCCTCACATAGTGGCCTTTGACTTCTTTCACAGTGAGGACCTCTGTTTCATGAGGCTCATAAGAAGATGAGCTAAGGACGATTTTGTCATGGGGGCGCCAATCCACTGCATCCTCTAGTATGAGTCTGTAACAGCATAAAAATGGCATTGGAAATACTAATAGGGCAGCACAAATCATATATTAACTCCAGAGCAAAAAAGGAAATCCACTGTGACCAACATAAGCCACCAGAGAAACTGAAATAGAAATAAGACATGACAGTGGAAAAAGGCTTTTGCAAACAGTTTAATGCTAATGGAGTCCCTTTTCTGGCTTACAAGTGTATATGTTACAGGGACAGCAAAGATATTCCATGATCCCTGAAATACAAGGCAAAGGAATAAAAAACAATAAAAGTTCCAGAGGTTGGTATACGTGTCTACATGTGGTAGACACGTAGAACTACGTGTGGTAGACACGTAGAGCTACGTGTGGTAGACATGTAGAACTACATGTAGACTACATTTTCTATAATAGCAACCTTCCTTTTGGATTAGGGAACAGATTAAATAATTAATAATAAAGCATTTCAGAAGAGATATTTTCTCTAATTTTCTGAAGAAATATAATGCTATTTTTCGACAACTCTGGACATTTTGGACAACTTTTCTTTATGCATTACAGCCCCCACCTTCATGGTGAGACAGATATAAGCATAAATTGTAGAGGTGTCACCCTGTAGTTGTAGTTAGTAGCTGTGACCTTGAGAAGTCACTTCACTCCTCAGCTTCCTATCCTCATCTGAAAAGTGCTATATTTGTACCTTCTCCCTTCTTTTTTATCACATTATGAAACAATGAGAGTTTTGTTCATTTTTGGTGTTCTTAAAAAAACACATTTAATGCAGTTTCTGTTCAGTCTTTCACTGCCGCCTAGCTTTTCCTAGTGAATATGACTGCTTTATTCTCTTCATAGTCATTACCAACTTCAACACCATAAATTTAATCACCTGCCTCATTAGCTAATGTCCAAAGTGTAGCAAGCTTTAATAAAGAGTCTCCTTTACCAGAAAATGTTCTTGAGACAACAGTGTCACTGTGCATGGCATTTGATATTGTAATCTCTGTTGACTGAGCAAATCTTATGCATCATATTCTAAACTAGATGCTAGAGACATAAAGATAAATAAAACATATATCATTTGTATTGAAATATGTAACTTAAATTTTGCCTAGCACATATCTTTAAAGAGTCTACTATATGGGTGAAAGATTAACAGATATTTAATATGTAGTATTAAGCCCCCAAGAAGAAATATACATTAAATGTGATTATTTATAAGAAAATGTATGAGTCTAATAAACCAAAGATTAGAATTAATTCAAATCTATGTACCTAAGGTTGGAGAGAGAAAGAGTCATAGAGAAGAAAAAAGACTATTATCAGTTAATGCAACTTTTAATGAAGGAATTTAGTCTTAACTCTGTTCCTGATTTGGTATGACTTCCTAGAAAACTCTCAGTTATAGACTATTTAAGCAACACCAGCTTTGAAAGGCAGAGAAACTAAGTCCCAAATAGATTAAATAACAAAATGTAAGACTAGATAAATAAATGGAGCCAGAGATTGAATTAGGACAAAGGAAGACTACCTATTAAGTCCAGGGTTTTTTCCACTAAATTATCTCACTTTGCCTGTCTCATTTTTAGTTCTTCAGATGCTAAATTGTATTAGAAAAAGAATACTACATTTCATAATCTATGAAATAAGAAGTCTATGATCCATACAATGGAATACTGTATAGTCATTTTTAAAGTAGCTTGTGGAAGAGCACTGAATTACAAGAAATTTTGTTCATGATGTCTTAATTTCAGAAGACCCCATCATCTCAGCCCAAAATCTCTGTAAACTGATAAGCAAATTCAACAAACTATCAGGATACAAAATCAATGTGCAGAAATCACAAGCATTCCTATACACCAATAACAGACTTAAAGAGAACCAAATTGAGAACAAACTACCATTCACAATTGCTACAAAGAGAATAAAATATCTAGGCATACAACTAACAAAGGATGTAAAGGATCTCTTCGAGGAGAACTACAAATGACTGCTCAAGGAAATAAGAGAAGACACAAACAGATGGAAAAATGCTCCATGTTCATGGTTAGGAAAAATCAATATTGTGAAAATGACCATACTGCCCAAAGTAATTTATACATTCCATGCTATCCCCATCAAGCTACCTATGACCCTCCTCACAGAACTAGAAAAAAACACCTTAAACTTCATATGGAACCAAAAGAGAGCCTGCATAGCCAAGTCAATTCTAAGCAAAAAGAACAAAGCTGGAGGTATCACACTACCTGATTTCAAACTATGCTACAAGGCTACAGGAGTCAAAACAGCATGGCACTGGTACCAAAACAGAGATATAGACCAATGGAACAGAACAGAGGCTACCTGACTTCAAACTATACTATAAGGCTACAGTAATCAAAACAGCATGGTACTGGTACCAAAACAGAGATATAGACCAATGGAACAGAACAGAGGCCTTTGGGCAACACCACACATCTACAACCATCTGATCTTTGACAAACCTGATGAAACAAGCAATGGGGAAAGGATTCTCTGTTTCATAAATGGTGCTGGGAAAACTGGCTAGCCATGTGCAGAAAGCAGAAACTGGACCCCTTCCTGACACCTTATGCTAAAATTAACTCCAGATGTATTAAAGACTTAAACATAAGATCTAACACCACAAAAACCCTAGAAGAAAACCTAGGCAAAACCATTCAGGACATAGGCATAGGCAAGGACTTCATTACTAAAACACTAAAAGCATTGGCAACAAAAACCAAAATAGATAAATGAGACCTAACTAAACTCCAGAGCTTCTTCATAGCAAAAAAAACAATCATTAGAGCAAACTGGCAACCAAAAGAATGGGAAAAAATTTTTGCAATCTACCCATCTTCTATAAAGAATTAAAACAGATTTACAACAACAACAACAAAAAAAAACAAACAAACCCATTCAAAAATGGGCAAAATATGTGAACAGACACTTTTTAAAAGAAGACATATATGAGACCAACAAACATATGAAAAAAATGCTCATCGCCACTGGTCATTAGAGAAGTGCAAATCAAAACCAGATTGAGATACCATCTCATGCCAGTCAGAATATTGATCATTTAAAAATCTGGAGACAACAGATGCTGGAGAGGATATGGAGAAATGGGAACACTTTTACACTGTTGGTGGGAGTGTAAACTAGTTTCACCATTGCGGAAGACAGTGTGGCAATTCCTCAAGGACCTAGAAATAGAAATTCCATTTGACCCAGCAATCCCATTACTGGGTATATATCCAAAGGATTATAAATCATTCGATTATAAAGACACATACACACATATGTTCATTGTGGCACTGTTTACAATAGCATAGACAGGGAACCAACCCAAATGCCCACTGATGATAGACTGGATAAGGAAAATGTGGCACATATACACCATGGAATACTATGCAGCCATCAAAAACGACAAGTTCATGCCCTTTGTGGGGACATGGATGAATCTGGAAGCCATCATTCTCAGCAAACTGACAAAAGAACAGAAAATCGAACATCACATGTTCTCACTCATAGGCGGGTATTGAACAATGAGAACTCATGGACACAGAGAGGGGAGCATGACACACTGGGATCTGTATGGGGGAATACAGGTGGGACAGTTGTGGGGGAGGGAGGTTGGGGAGAGTTAACAAGGGGAGAAATGCCAGAATATAGGTGATGGGGGGATGGAGGCAGCAAACCACATTGCCTTGTATGTACCTATGCAATAATCCTGCATGTTCTGCACCTGTACCTCAGAACCTAAAGTGCACACATATGTATATACATATATATATATGTAAAAATTTGATAAAATTAAAAATATATATGCACAGAAAATGGGAAGGCTGCATGTTAAAATGTTAGCCTATCTATGGATGGTGGTATTATTAGTGATTTTCACTTAAATCTAAATTTTCTAACTTATCAGGTAGTATACTGCCGTTAGGAAATAAAAGTCAATCTGCTGTATAATTGAAATTAATCCTTTACTTCGTAGTCAGTATTACTCAGCAGTCTCCAACCTTTCTGGCACCAGGGACCAGTTTTGTGAAAGACATGGATGGATTCAGGATGAAACTGTTCCACCTCAGATCATCAGGCAATAGATTCTCATAAGAAGCATGTAACCTAGATCCCTTGCATGCACAGTTCACAATAGGGTTTGCATTCCTATGAAAATCTAATGACCCCTGATCAGACAGGAGGTGGAGCTCAGGCAGTAATGTTCCTTGCCCATTGCTCACCTCCCGCTGTGCAGCCTGGTTCCTGATAGGCTATGGACCTGTATCGGTCTGTGGCTCTGGGGGTTGGGGACCCCTGATCTACATAATTTTTATTATTTATATTGTTGAATAAAGCTCTTCAAATAATAGGTCACTATAATATTCTGAAAAGTTCCATGTGATTGTGAGATTAAAACTTATACACAGGAGATTTTTTAGGGCACTATTCTGTGTCATATTATGGAGTATATATATATGAATACTCATTTCTCAGAATCCATAAAACTCTTAACACTGAGTGAATCCTAATGCAAATTTTAAAAACCATAAAGCTTCATTTGCTAACTCCCTTATATAAGCCATCTGCTCCAGCCAGATGAATCAGTTCACTCTCCCCTACTCTGCTCTTCAGGTCTCTAATTCTTAAAAATGGACATGTCACTATGCCTTCAAGAAATCCTTCCACTGAATGTCTAAAGCCTCCCCACTTTCTGTACCACCAAAAGTGGGTATGTCAATTTGACATAACAAATGCTGTTTATTGCCTTGTGACTGATTTTGTACACTTGCCTTCTGTGACCATTCAACTTTTACATTGTTCATTGTTATTTAATAAAAATAAGACTATATAAGACCAGGTACAGTGGCTCTTGCCTTATAATTCCAGTACTTTGGGAGACCAAGGCAGGAAGATCATTTGACCCCAGGAGTTTGAGACCAGCCTGGACAACACAGAGTGATCCCATCTCTATAAAAGTGGAAAAAAAAAAAAAAGCCTGGTGTGATGGCACACACCTGTGGT